GGGACACGGGGATGGGGATAAAGGGACATGGGGACACAGGGGTGGGTCACAGGGTCATGGGGATGGGTCACAGGGTCATGGGGATGGGTCACAGGGTCATGGGGACATGGGGATGGGTCACAGGGACACGGGGATGGGGATAAGGGGACATGGGGACACAGGGATGGGTCACAGGGTCATGGGGACACGGGGATGGGTCATGGGGACACAGGGGTGGGTCACAGGGACACAGGGGTGGGGATATGGGGACATGGGGACACGGGGATGGGGATATGGGGACATGGGGACACTGGGATGGGTCATGGGGACACGGGGATGGGTCACAGGGTCATGGGGACACTGGGGTGGGTCATGGGGACACGGGGATGGGGATAAAGGGACATGGGGACACAGGGGTGGGTCATGGGGACATGGGGATGGGTCACAGGGTCATGGGGACATGGGGATGGGTCACAGGGACACAGGGGTGGGTCACAAGGACACACAGACACCGGCTGAGGACATCAAGACCTGTCACAGGGACACGGGAGGACACAGGGGTGGGTCACAGGGACACAGGGACGGGGATATGAGGACATGGGGACACAGGGATGGGTCACAGGAACAGGGGGACACACCAGCTGGGTCACAGGGACACAGGGACACACCAGATGGGTCAAGAGGACACAGGAGGACACAGGGATGGGTCACAGGGACACACCAGCTGGGTCACAGGGACACAGGGATGGGGAAATGAGGACATGGGGACACAGGGACGTGTCACAGGGACATGAGAGGACACAGGGACGGGTCACAAGGACACACAGACACAGCCTGAGGACATCAAGCCCTGTCACACGAACACAGCAACACCCACAGAAGTGACACCAGCACATCACACGGTGACAAAGCGACACAGCCCCACATTCCAAGGACCCCCCAGGACCCCAGCCGGCGTCCCCAGCTCCTCAGGTGTCCCCAGGTGACACCTCGGTCCCCCCCCCGTGTCCCCCGTACCTGATGCGCAGGGGCTCCAGGCGCCACAGGGACCTGGCGTGGGCGCACACGGCGCCGCCCTCGTAGTTGACGACGCTGCTGGGGGTGACGGGGAGGGGTCAGCGAGTTGGGGACCCCCACCCCGGCCGTGTGTCCCCCCCCGGGGGTTTGGGGACCCCCCCCTAAATTTGGGGACCCCCCCCCCACCTGCGCTCCTCGCCCTGCTCGGGGGCCGTGGGGGTCAGGCACTCGTCCATGTGGCCGTGGAACAGGCGCATGACGTGGCCGCCGGTGACGTAACCTGGGGAGGGGGGACAGCAGCGTGGGGAGGGGGCTCAGGGGGTGGGGGACACCCCCCGAGGGACCCCCCAGAGTCACATTTGGGGTGTCCCGGGTGTCACACCTTCCTCGGAGCCGGAGCAGATGGGGTTCATGTTCCACAGGGTCTGCATGAAGGACGCGTCCACCTGCAGCTCGCCCGAGGCCGTGGACAGGTGCTGGGACACGGGGAGGGGGGGACACACGGGGGGTCATGGGGGTCTCCCTGGGGGCCGGGGGGGCGTGTGCCCGTGTCCCCCCGTGTCCCCAATGTCCCCAGTGTCCCCAATGTCCCCCAAGTGTCCCCAAGTGTCCCCAATGTCCCCCCATACCAGGTATCTCTCGGAGGACATGCTGACCAGGA